CCTATTTAGTCTAACAAGCCACTTACCTCAAGTCTAGGCTTTCAACCAATCTATCATTCAAGCCCTAAAGAAAAAGATAAGGATTTGATTATTTAATTATACCATAATCATAAAATAAAAAATTACCTTTTCTCTTTATATTTAGTTTTACCTTTTTTTAAAACCATAATAATATATTTAAATATCATTAGCCTTGATTAGTTTTACACTCTGACTTAACTAATCTTCGTATGAAGCATGGGATGTACTCTAGTCATCATTAAATTTGGCATTTTTAACCAATTGCCATGACAATTAATTTTTTGTATTCTTTTCTTGGTTTTGGAAAAACTTTTTATGATGTCAAACACAATAAACACCATTAGCATATCTATGTTCCACGTACCAGAATTTTGAATTTAATGATCATTATTTTTTGTTTGTTAACATAATAAAATCATAAAGTCACATTGGTAGAACAAAATAAACTCATATGTAGTAACTAATTAGATTATAATAAAACCAAATTAAAAAATTATCCACTCAATCTTGCATAAAGTCAGTTGCAATCATGGTAGAAAGATAAAGTTTGTATTTACAGTGATTCAATATTTGCACTTACCATGGTGATCAGTAGCAAGAGGCAATTAATTGCCCGTGTCGGCCTCCTACAAACATTGAGTGCGACTGGTGCAAAATAGTCTTCTTTTTTTTTTTTGCTTTATTGTTGCCTCTGAATTTGGATGCCTCTGAACTTCGACGGTGGAAGACTTACACTTAAACAACATAGGCTAGAATTCAAAGATTGATATTTGCAAACAAACGTTATAAAGTAATTCTTCTCTTATGAAGAGCTAGTGAATATTAGAAAGCTTATTCATGGTAGGGGTGTTCAGATCGAATCGGAAAACCAACCGAACCAAAACTAAACCAAAATTGAATCGGTCCAGATCCAATTCAGCCAAAAACTGGTTCATCAATAGTTTGATCTTGAAGTCTATAAATGGTTCTGATTTAGAAGAGTACTCTTCTTAGATTCGGTTAACCGGTTCGGACCAAACCAAACCGAAGAAGAAGAAAAAACTACACTCTTTATTAAATCAAAATTAAAGAGATCTTATCGGATGTTTTTGTTGATTCCCCTCTTCATCTCTAAATCAATGGGCTACTTGATCTTGATGAGAATGAGCAGTCGCCACCAACAACGACGGTTCCACATGTCCAAGGTGAAAAAAAATAGAAGGCAGGATCCTCCTCAAGTAGAAAACCCTTTCTTTCAGTATTGCCTCTACATTATTTATTAGACCTTTCGACATCCTAAATAATAAAAAAAATATTAATGTAGTCCTAAAATTGCTTACTGTTACATCCTAGGATGTTGTAATCTTCAGACTCAACAAGACCAAGAAAACCTAGATTCGAAGAACACTCAATTGCCAATTTCCCAAACTTTACAATCCACAATTCCACTTGCTCAAAAGCTGCTTCCATTAAATTCCTTACCGTATGCAGGTACAATATTTCTCGAGGCATTGCTGTGTGTGAAATCCAACGCTATGCTGTTAGGGCACAAGTATGTCCAAGAGAATTATTCTATCAGTAGAGGACTTTTCCCTTTGAATGTAATTGAAATCAGGAGGAAGAAGAAAAAAACACTTATACCCAACTCACAAGATGAATCTTCAATGCATCTACAGTTATCTTTTAGAAGCTCAGAGAGTTCATACCGAGAATGGTAAGAACACATACTCTCTTGAGAAACTCTCGTCTCCCCCTCCTCCTACATATCACACTCCTTTCCCTTCCTCACACAACAATTTACTTTACCCACAAATCTTCTGCTAGTCCCCGATCAAACTTCAGGGTTTCACCGATCAAACAATCAAGCAGCTCAAGAGATGTCCACAGACATTCAATTCCGCATCTATTCCGACCAAATCCTAGAACGCAACCGCTCCTCCTCTCACTCTGTTCGTTCTCCATTTTCTCACCTCTGATCACACATCTCAACATAGCGCATCCAGCTCCTAAACCCCTTCCTTTCTTTTTCTCTTTCCTTCCTCCCTGGGGCACAAGACGATACACATGCCACGGCAAACCCGTCTTTCACACACACCACTACCAAAACAAATCGTAAGCCAGCAAGACGCCCAGAAAACAACAAAAGAAGAAGGAGAAGAGGTGAGGATTTGAAAGAGAAAGGGGTGCCAAAGGCGGCGACGAGCGATCTTTTCTGGGTACTCTTGTTCTTACTTGGGCTGATCGTGACGCCGCTTCTTGCGCTCGGTGGGTGTTCGTTTCTTTGCCGCTGAATACTATATAGATCCATCCGCATGGACGACCAATTTGTCACGATCGAACTAAAAAAAAGGGAGGGACGCCGCAGAGAAAGCGGTGTGCGGCGCAGAGAAAACAGAGAACAAAGGTCTTGGACTGCGGCCCGGCAGCGGCGGTCGGAGCGTCGATTCGCGTGCCATATAGCAATGGTCGATGGACTCATGTGGCCTTCATTCATCGCTTCTTATGGGCCTCCAATAGAATCCAAGGCCCACATAAGGCCCATTTATAGTACTTATTAAAATTGGATCCCAAATAGATTTATTTATTTATTATAAAATCATTTCATTGAAAAAAAAATAGAATTAAATCATCCAAAAAAGCTGAGCTATGTCTCCTTCGGATTCGGATTAGATCCGACCATCGTTCCTATTTCTCTGATGATCCACTTTGGAGATAAACATACTATAAAGCCTCCATTTTATCCATTACGGTGTGGCATCACCATTCATCAGAACTGCTTGCCCTTCTTCGATCGGGGAAGTATGGGGGAAAAAAAAAGAATGGAAAGATATTTTTGGAAACAATGAGTTCAGTAAGTGTCTTTAATTCAACAGGAGAACTGACATGATCTCACAACAGGTGATAATGACAAGCTCTGGGTCTAAGAAAACCATACTCTATCATGTAGATCATATATCATGTAATATTGACTTGTTCTTCTAATCAAGCTTTATGTCATAATCATTCACAAAGGTCTAAGCTGCACATTAACTCATAATAATTATACAAAAGTATACGAGTGTAATGATATTAGTAGCTTTTGGGCCACACTTCGGATCATCTCTCTTACACGAAGAGCTAGGATCCTATGTGGACTCATTTGCGACTCGATGCACAAGTCAGCATCATAGGTTGTCATTCCAACTGTTGTTGCACCATCCATGATTGACACTCTTAATTTTTGTGCTGTATTTTCGTCTTCTTTTTACGTCACCAATCATCCTAATCGTTTATTCCTTTAGAAACAGAAACTTCAAGTTGAGCTTAGAAGGTAGGTTGTCATGCTCAAGTTGATTAGGGTTCATAGACAAGGAGCAGTCATTAGCATATATAATATGATGCTACTCGAAGACTCATCCTTCTAGGGTTCTATCTATCTTAATGCAGCAGCTTGTGTCAGCTAACTATCTATCACTCAAAGTTATACCTAAACAAAATCCTATGTGAAGTAGGAGTCAGATCTCTCCACCTATCATATATTTTGATGAGAAAATAAGTGTGGATTTGATTGTTTTTCTCCTTGCAAATTCTCTTCTTTTTGTTTATTTATTTCTGTCGATAAGGTCATGGAATCAACCACAGTGTGCAGGTTGACTGCAGGAAGAAAACGAGGGCAGTAGATGGATCAGTTAAAATATGGAGCAACAGCTGACGCACTTGCAGCGGATTTCTTCGCTAAACGAGGATGATGGAAGAGAGTCGCTGTGAAACACCATGGGAGTTGTGCTGACACAAGGAAAGGAGAACACGAGAGAGATCTTCCCTTTCTCTTTTGTTTACTTTGGCCATCGGAATACACCACATGGCTTGACCAAACTCCATGTGGCCGGTTAGGGTTTTAGCGTCTATCTTATGATCCTTCGACTCGGGAGGAACACGAGTGAAAATGTGAATCGACCCTTCACATCTTCTTGTACTGAATCATCGTCATATCTCGGGCCACGAAAGTCCTGCTCGATCATGAAACTTGATGACATTGCATGCGAGCAACAGTTTCTCCTCGGACACAAGAATGTTTCCGCCGGTGGATGATTTCATATGGTGAAGCAGCAGACACTGTTTGAGTGCCTCAATGGAGTTGTCTGCACTTTAGACATTGGCGATCAAAGCTTGATATTTAACTGGTTAAGTAGAAAGCTTGCCGTCCTCCTTGCTTGGGGAGATAAAACTCCCATAAAACAAACACAAAAGTTTGGGACTTTGGGGGGGTCGTCCGTCGTTGAAAACCAAGGATGCTTGTGCCAGAACAAGAGCTGGATTCAGCGTCAGACATGGAGAACAGCTAGAGCTTGTGTACAAGAAACCAGCATGCCTAACTCCACTTCTGTGAGCAAATAATGGGTTCTTCCTTTAGGTGGTTTGTTGAAACGTCAATTGTTATCCCACTGCTTTGAAAAACCAAGACAATTCCAACACCAAAAAGATAAAAAGGGAAAGAGACAGATCAGCTTTCCCCATCAGGCCAATCTCTGCAATCACCCATTTTTTTTCTTCTATTGATTAATCCTCTTGATGGAGCTGAAGATTCCCGGCCCTAATTCAGCTACCAAACCCTACCATTGTTTACCGTCAATCAACTGAAACAGGGAGTCAATGTTGGGTGCATGCCTTGAATGTGATCAGATCCGCAGGGAGATAGATAGATCATTGTGCACTGCACTGTGGCATCAGTAGACTATGATCCACCATTTTCCACCTCTGTTTGCAAGGCACGATACCATCAACTTGATGGCAACTGTAGCTGAGTCATATTCCTTCTGCTCCTACTGAGGTATCACCTCAGATAGCACTTATCATGACATCAAGAACAGTAACCATCCTACAACGAGCGGAGGATACACAATGCCACTGTCGGCCTGCACCAAGCCACACCGTTCCATCATATTCATTTTCCTCCCTGAGACGCAACCTCTCTCCAGCAAAAGTAACCCCCCCCCCCCCCCGAGAGCATTGTCATGCACTGTTAGGTGGTGTGGGTGGAAAGAAGAAGAGAAGGGTCAAAAGTTGTGTGTGTGCAGGTTGAATCCACCTGTATATATATAAATAATATGCATTCCGTGCATGAGATTTCTGGCTTTTTGAGGTGGGCGCAAGGGGTGCATGGTTAGAGGGAAACAGGTGAAGATGGCTCTGCCAAAAATAGAGTGATGAGGAATATGTTGTTTTGGCAAACCCAAAACCATGTTACGATTGCCTAGTATGTATGCTAGGGCAAGCAATCAAAGCACCTCATCCCCTTTGATTCATCTTCTGCTGCTGAACTAAGAAGCTGAAACGTGGAAGAATTCCATGTTTTGTTTGGCGGCATGATATCTATCATTCATGCAGCCAGTGACCGGCGCAGGCAGAAACAAATGCCCAGATAAAAGAAAGAAAATTAAAAGCCACAAACCCCTATCTATCATTGTTTCAGGACTATCTATCCATTCTCATTACAAAATCATCAAGTTATTCGCACTCTCGATAAAGTTCTATGTCAGCATGTCATTCTAAGGAATGCTCTCATCAACACACTTAATCTCTTCGTATACGTATTCCAAACTCTCTCTAACTTATTTGAGTTATCTCTCAAACCCTCTTCGATCTTCGTGTTTCACGTGATTATTGTCTACGATGTTAAAGTTTTCGTAGGGAGCATCGGACTTTCACCAAACTTGGTGAAACTCATGGTCAAGCATGGGAGGCCGGGCTGACTTTTATATCATATCCTAGACTAAAGTGAACTCCTTGCTGACTCCAAACATCACAAGATTCAAAAAACATGAATCGAGTCTGATCATCTTTTGTCATGTTAGGTTAAGGATGAAAAATAATAATACCAAATTGGTTGGAATCATGGGATTCCTCAAGAACATGTTAGGAAGGAGTCTCCTTTCATGACCTTGGGTGCTACGGCAGGCTTTGAATCGGATGCCTTAACCTGCTCGTCCGAGGGAGCGTAGATTCATATCACCATCGTTGACTCTTCAACAACCATAGATTTTAACTCCGTACACCCAATACAACATATGCCTATTAATGCATTCGTCTATATGTAAGCAACAATAATCGACATCTTCGGTCTCGACAAACATAAATAATATGACGTTAATCCGTAGTCAGGGACTCGACACATCAAGTCATAGTCGATAATAAATAATGTTAGGAAGGATCGACATACATAAATTATCCTTATAAAAACAATTGTAGATTGACTGAGTCGTAGATAAAGAGCGTTGCATAGCAGGTAAAGCCTCTTTTTCTATCCAAACCTCATGCGTGGGATGCACATATCTTACACCCACACCTTCGTTCTAGCATCAGAAAGAGAAGGGATCGATTGGAATGAGAAATATTGTCTCTCATATCTCGGAACACACGATACACGAGTCCGTCCTTGTAGTACCAGACACAATAGTAAAGGTTTGTCTCTCATATTATCTTGTCACGCAAGAGTTCCCACTGAGACGGATGCCGGGTACTGTTCCTGTTTCTTCTACGGCAGTCATTGCTGTTTGTGCATGGAATGGGCCTCAATGATATGCGCGGCTGTGGCGCTACTCGATCCACTCCGTCATCTGATCGGCCTCCCATGATTTGTGTGCATGCCGTGAAGTCACACGCCATCAGCTTTTTTACGTGACCTTCCCAACACAGGCAGGTTTCCAACGCACCCTGGAGTCGACACGTGGATCCCCGCCACTGCGGGTCCCACAGGCTGGGCCTCCGCGTGGGCGACGCCGTCGGAGGGCGAGGGGGACGACGTCACGCGGAACGGCAGCTGCCTGTGCCGCCGGCAGCCAGTCCTTATCGCGGGCCACCGTTGGTGACGCGCATCGCGACAGGGGTCCGACGAGGCCGGCGCCTACGTGTCCGGCACGCTGGCCCGCCTGTCCCCTCCAATCCCTCCACTGACGCCACTGTGGGCCGCCGCCTGCCCCTCCCCCGCCCTACACGCCCCCGACCTCCCCTATGTCTCCTTGCGCCCCCTACGTGCATGGTTCCATCCCCACTCCCCCTCTATAAATACCCCTCGCCCTCGCCTCCTCTTCCCCACCTATCTCATAGCATCACCATCATCCTCCTCCTCCTCCTCCTCTACATCTCGAGTATGACCATAGTCGACCGATCCATGGAGGTGAGACCCGCGAACTCCACCAGGCTGGGTCCGGCGGCCTGCGAGAAGGACGCCGAGAAGCTGGGGTTCATAGAAGAGATGACCGTGAACGCGGACAAGGTGCAGGAGAAGGTGTTGGCGGAGATCTTGGGCCAGAACGCGGAGACCGAGTACCTGCAGAGGCACAAGCTCGGCGGCGCCGCGGATCGGAAGACGTTCAAGTCCAAGATACCCATGGTGACCTACGAGGACCTACGGCCGGAGATCCAGAGGATCGCCAACGGCGACCGGTCCGCCATCCTCTCGGCTCACCCCATATCGGAGTTCCTCACCAGGTGCTACTCGATCACTTGGTTGAATTTGATCCGAGAGATGGTGACTTAATTCTTTACGTGTGGGATATCTTTATATATATACAGTTCGGGGACGTCGGCCGGCGAGCGGAAGCTGATGCCGACCATCCAAGAAGAGCTGGACCGGCGGCAGCTCCTCTACAGTCTTCTCATGCCCGTTATGAACCTGTGGGTATCTCTTCCTTGTTGTTTTCTTTTAGCTAGCGATGGTTTGTATACTAATCAGGACTCCCATCTCCATCTGCGTCGGCTACATACATCTTTTCATTATTGTGGTAGATGATTCCTCCAGTGGACTATGGGCTTAAACAAATTTAATGTCTGCGCCTTCTCAAAAACAAAACCACAAGTCGAGATCAGAAAGTAGTTAATATTTTCCTTCTTCTTCTTCTTCTTCAATCTATTCTATAGTCCGAGTTGCAACCAACCCTATCTAACTCGCACTAAACAAATTTGTAGGATATATCTTATTATAGATTTCGCTTGCTAGTCTATTGCTGTTTAGATTTGCAAACAATTTTGTGTTTGTTGACGAAGCCTCTTTGGTGCAACAACTTGTCCATATATTGAATCGCATGTTGAAGGAGTGTCACAATGAGAAATCCATCATCTTAATTGAGGTCAAACTTGGAGATGGTGATAGTATTTTGGTTATCGATGTGGTTTGTCAATGGTCAGATACGTGGCTGGGCTGGACAAAGGGAAGGGGCTCTACTTCCTGTTTGTCAAATCGGAGAGCAAGACGCCCGGAGGCCTCCCCGCCCGCCCGGTGCTCACCAGCTACTACAAGAGCCACCACTTCCGCGCCCGCCCCTTCGACCCCTACAACGTCTACACCAGCCCCACCGCCGCCATCCTCTGCGCCGACGCCTTCCAGAGCATGTACTCCCAGATGCTCTGCGGCCTCCTCGACCGCCTCGCCGTCCTCCGAGTGGGCGCCGTCTTCGCCTCCGGCCTCCTCCGCGCCATTCGCTTCCTCCAGCTCCACTGGCAGGAGTTCGCCCACGACATCGCCACCGGCACTCTCAGCTCCATGGTCACCGACGCCGCGGTCCGCGACGCCGTGGCCGAGGTGCTCAAGCCCGACCCCGGCCTCGCTGAGTTCATCGTGTCGGAGTGCGCTGCCGGCGATTGGGCCGGCATCATCACCAGGATCTGGCCCAACACCAAGTACCTTGATGTGATCGTCACGGGCGCCATGGCGCAGTACATTCCCACCCTCGAGTACTACAGCGGCGGCTTGCCGATGACGTGCACCATGTACGCGTCCTCCGAGTGCTACTTCGGCATCAACCTCCGCCCCATGTGCAAGCCCAGGGAGGTCGCCTACACCATAATGCCCAACATGGCTTACTTCGAGTTCCTGCCCCTCGACTCAGCGGCGTCCGGACCTCCGCCGCAGCTCGTGGACCTGGCCGACGTCGAGGTCGGGAAGGAGTACGAGCTGGTGATCACGACCTACGCGGGGCTCTACCGTTACCGGGTGGGCGACATCCTGCACGTCACCGGCTTCCACAACGCGGCGCCGCAGTTCCGGTTCGTGCGGCGAAAGAACGTGCTGCTGAGCATCGAGTCGGACAAGACGGACGAGGCGGAGTTGCAGCGGGCGGTGGAGAGGGCGACGGAGTTGCTGAAGCCGTGGGGGGCGACGGTGGTGGAGTACACGAGCCAGGCGGACACGAGGGCCATCCCGGGGCACTACGTCATCTACTGGGAGCTGCTGGTGAAGGAAGGAGAAGGGGGGAGGTGGCCGGGGAAGGAGGCGCTGGAGGCGTGCTGCCTGGAGATGGAGGAGGCCATGAACACGGTGTACCGGCAGAGCCGGGCGGCGGACGGCTCGATCGGGCCGCTGGAGATACGGGTGGTGCGGGGCGGCACCTTCGAAGAGCTCATGGATTACGCCATCGCCAGGGGTGCGTCCATCAACCAGTACAAGGTGCCGCGCTGCGTCACCTTCCCCCCTATCATCGAGCTACTGGACTCGAGGGTGGTGGAGGCACACTTCAGCCCCGCCACCCCTAAGTGGACCCCTCGCCGGAACTACTAGCCGTGCGCCATTTTAGTGCTTAGTTTGCTCGGTGATAAGGTGTGTGTGTGTGTGTGTGTGTGTTGCAGATGGACTTAACCCGTCAACGGGACGCAGTGGGTAAAGGGATCCTAATAAATGGACAAAACCACCTACCCGTGGGTTTAGATTTTAGATGTATGACAACGTATCCGTTCCATCTTCCTTCTCAGTCGTCCGCTCCTTTGTTTCTTCGGAAACATTATGTGGTTGACTCTTTCTCAGAATATATCCATACAAGTCTCTGTTACTTGGGGACCCCACCCACCCCCCTCTCTTTGTGCTCGCTCCTCCTCATTGAATCCCTGGACAAACAAACAACTAGAGTGCATGTGGTAAGACGATTCCGACCCCCTTCTCTTTCTCTTCTTCTCCCTCTGTCCCGCTCGTGAGCTGCAACAGTGATTGGCCCGAAAAGATCGTCATGGGACAATTGCTCCCACTGCGCTGCATGCGATCATGACATCCCAGACAAACGCACCCAACTTTGTGGGCGACAGCATTAGCAACCGGAGGAGGAAGAAGCACGACGACATGCATGAGACAGTCGCGGGTCATGTGAGAAAAGACGATCGGCAATAAGGTGTTGCGCAAAAAGTCCGGAAGATAACCTTCGTAACAAGAGAGTCAGAATGTAAAGTTACCTTCATGCCGGGAGACAAGCATTAACACTCGGGCAGCTCTCCAGTTGTCGAGTGGAAGGACTGACTAAACGCTGGGAGAATCCGACAAAGACGTCTGCACACAGATAGAAGCACCAAAATGAGAAAAAAAGAAGAAAATGACTAGACATGCGTGAAGTTGGTCTTTAGGGTGCATATGTCGTTTTGCATCCAAAAAACACAAAACATGTACAATATATGACAACTGCTTCGAGTTGATAAGGACTTCACGAAATATCGACAGAAACGAAGTATCCATCATTACCTGGCCCGCCTTGAAAATTAAATGGAAAACACTAAATGTACTTGAGCAATTAATCTACTCATTGATAGAGAGCAAAAAATTGCAGCTTTGATGTCCGATTACTAGGCAAGGCTTTTTGATCTGAGAGTTGCCATATGGCCACTCTCTTTCGGTGTTAATTTCAGCTGCCAAATTTGTTACCAGTTTAAGCGCAATCAAACCTTCATCCCTGCCGAATAAGGGTCATACTTGGCTCATCAAACAGCCTTCTTCGGCAAACCGAAAAAATTAGAGTCGTCTGAAGCTCTCGAGCATCATTGTCACCTTCTTGGGATATAGTTTCTACTTTGACAGACTCTCTGAAAAGTTGCATGAGCTCCAACAGGTACTCGAGGCCTCTAAGGTGGTGGCCCAAGAGCATGCACCTTATGCCAACACCAAAGACAAGTTTAAATTCACTATTGAAAAGCATGAATTGCAATCACAAAAGTCTGCTGTGCCATCCATATACCAGAAAAGAAGGCATGCAAGAGAATCCCATGGGACTGATACGAGAGGCTGAAACTGAATCCAAGTGTTCTCGACAACTTCTGCACATTCATCTTTTCCAACATTTAAGGCACCATCTGTCATATTATCATAGTGAGGTGGGGGCTTTCTTAAAATGCATCTTTGGAGAGAGAGAGAGAGAGAGAGAGAGAGAGAGAGAGAGAGAGAGATGCAAGGAGGCCATGTACCACAGTGAATAGTTTCTTCCACCCCCAGGCAGGTTGATTCTGAAAATTCAGCTACCTACAGAAAAACCAGTTTAGTTAGGTACACCACATTGCTCAAAAAAAGTTATTACCTCAAATTGATTATTCTGCAATAAGTGAATTACTCAAAAAGGACAACTTGATGAGAACACCAAAGGCTTAAGAACAAAATATCAGGACAATAATATTTAGCTTTGAAAATCTTTCTTATATTGATACTTCGGAAATTTTACCCATCATCATATTGGAGATTGATTCAGTTCACATTCAAAGCCTCTTATCTGCAAGTTGACTTTAACAGGAACATGCAACTGCTTTGTTTAGCACACTTCTTTACACTGTGAATATAACAAACTGGATTACCCAAAGCAACAGAGCCCATAGATGGGATGTAACTACAAGCTCCATCTTTGTCATGGAATTCAAAGGATTAACAAAACAAAATCAATGGTTACTGGTTGACCATGATTAGAAAAAAGTTTGCAGTTATGATCAATTATCTGATGCATAGGAATCATAAAAAATTATACTTATAACAAGCATGAACAATATTATAGTATCCATGTGAAAACACAGAGAAATTATACTTTAATGCCAATAAAGATCAATTTTTGGACTCTGGACTCTGGAGGCACCATAAATCATACCTTTTCAAGTCTATGTGCTCTAAATTACCACTAAAGGATGGACTTGAGGAATTACAATATTTCACAGAGGAGCTGCTATATACTAAGTTTAACTTCATTAGGCAATAATGAACAGATAAGGGTAATAACTGTTACACATGAAGATAAGTTCATCTTCATGTACAGCGAAACCTCGCTGAAGAACAACAGTGTGCAAGACCTAAAGCCAGTTTTTTCTTCTTTCTTCTTTTTTGAAATTGTGCAGTAATTAGGGCCTCCAAAATCATTATTGGTTAGTAAAAGCAACATGTGAAGGTCAACACACCTCAGCATGAGCGCCAGCCAACGGTTATGTGCTATCACCTGTAGATTAATTCTTTCCATACGTAAAACAATTTTGTCAACTATCTTGGATAAATGTGATCCTATACTGAGTAATCAAGGCTTTCCTTGGACATAGGTTACAAACAAATATCTTAGTATCTAATTTGATAAGAAATTGCTGAAGGTCAAGTTGGCAAAGAACCATTTAGTAATGTATCGGCATTAAGGCATTAAGGCAGATTGCTAAATAAAATTTGCAAATTTAGCAATTTATAATATTGTTAAGTATAGACCATCACAGAAAAAAGAATTTAAATTCCACTGGTTGATAATCCTTCAAACTAATAAGGTATTGCAGAAAGAACAGATAAAGTAGTTCCATGTAGTTTGCTTTTGTTTTTCCTTCAAGTTAAGTTGGAAATGTAACTATTGTAATGATGATTGGATTAAGCGTATCAGGAGACTACAATTGGCAGTGTTAGCAGGAAAATGCTTGAAGGAAATACAGCAGGCAGGACCAGACCATGCCAGTCATATGCAACATATAACATTGTTTCTCAGTAGAGACCCGAAAGATTCTTTTTGAAAAGTCATTGATCAACTTGTAAAATGTTGTAGGTAACACAACCTACCTTCTCAGGTTGCCGTGATCTTAGATAATCCAACAGGTCGTTCTTTTGAAACAAGATCCTAGCTTATGTGAATGGCAGTTGACGATGCTGACAGATAGCCTGTACAAGAAAGTCTAAGAGCCAGATTCATCCTCAATATATCGAACTAAAGACAAGTCGACAAATGTTTGATTTTGAAACTATATAAATATATACAAATATACACGAGGAATCAATTCATCACATATAAGTATACCCTTCAAAATATCTAGGGTGTTTAGCAAGAACAGTATCAGTAGAGTGATACAGTTATCCTTAAGAATAAGAATGCATCCATATGTAGATTCCACATAAGGTCAGCAACGCTGCTACCTGCAGTTGAACAGCCATGGAACTGACTGACCATTTTTCTATTACTAGAGAAACTATCAGTGGACGTTGCTAAATGACCATCTAGATAGGGATATTATTTACTAATTTTATTTACAAACAATCAGTGGACAAGTGGTCAAGTCCAACAACACCTTGAGTTTTGAGTAAAAGAAAACATTAACATTAATTCACAACAGAGGATATTGCTTAAATGTAAAGTTAAGCTATATGTGGGCTTAGAACATATGTCAAGGATTAATGTGTGTAAAAGAGTAAAACAAGGATAGTTGGACACCACCTATACAGATGCAAAACTTGGATACTAGAGCAGGAACTATATTTAAGACCATGAATCCTCCTATGGTTAACACTAACAAACAATGGTTGTTTGTGAAGGATAGCTATCATTGTCTGTACAAAGAAATGGATGTTTAATTGAAGAGTCAGGATAAGGTAATCCCTCCATGATAGTAACATCCATTTGTTTTCACAACATATAGGAAACAATAAAAAACCATAAATTTACAGAATAAAGGTAAAACCTCCCTTTATATAGACTATTTGTACCATATGGGCATTTTAAAAACAGGCAGCCTAATGCATAAGGCTCTCACCAATATTGGCTTCGCAGAGGGTTAATGTGCACAGTCTTATCCATGCAAATAGAATAGGTGATTTCTGCTACAGCATGGCTGTCATTTTTCCTAGTTAAGATATAGATGTTTGATTTAAAAAATTTAACATAGCACTCACATCTTTCTAAATAAGATTCTGTTGTTTCTGAATCAAATTAAAAGCTGGACAAAAATGACTTTTTTGTTAAACAAAAGAGAGATTTCCCAACAGACTCCAAATAATTACCAAAGAGGCTTGCAAATTTTTATCTTATGACAACATCATGAAAAATAATCAATTAAAACATGAACCTTTCATTACTCACTCTTGCTTTCCAACAAAGAGCAGCATGTTTTGGGTCCAAGCAATTGCGTATACTTCCCTTCCCCATATAATAAAAAGCCTAGCAGGGTGCAAATGTATGGATCAATTAAAAAGTTAGCTGTCTAAATGCACAGATCAGAGTTTAGTTAAGTTTGGTGTTCTAGAACCCCAAACAAGGCAATTGGGTTTCCTACTAACCATATGCAACTGATCCTTATAAAAAAGTATATGACATAGGCCAACTTGGAAGGACTGATGTAAAAATTTGTGAAAATGTTTGAATATAATGTCATATGCATTTTTGTTGCCTACACTGTCTTCATCAAAGAAACCAATAACTTGAAGAATAGTTCCCAGCGAGCTTCCACCAGGACATGAAACTGGTTGGATGGAAGAAGAACCAACATGCCTGAAATAGCCCTTTTCATTCAATCCACTGTATCAGCTGATACATTTTCTTCAATAAGGCTCACGTGCAAAGGCCCTATCTCTTGTATCAAGTTGAAGAGCATGAACTTCTGACAGAACATCAATGTAGCTCTTGAGGAGATCAAGTTGCATCAGATATACTGGTGTTAAAAGACAAGGTCCCAAAAAAAGAACTATGGCCAACTATATATTTTGTACAATTGCAAGATCCTACTATCATGCTACCATATTGTATTCACTCAATCTTAATAAATTTCACAAGTTGATTGTCTTCTTATAACTCTGGAAGCTTTACTTTCTTAGAAATTAAAAGCTTTTATCAGAACCTATATCTTACTCGGTTCAGCTCCTATCTCCAGAAGTGCTAACCAATAGCATAGTGTATGTACTAAGTATTCTTGCAAAAAGCATGTACTATGTAGGTACAGTTTGACATCCACGTTCAATAAATGCAAAACTTAGGAAGAAGTTACATCAAGTGTAGTGCATGACATGGTTTTACGGTTTGAAGGCATTGTCTCATTATGAACTGAAAATACCCAAAAAATTCATGCCTGACAAACAGCATGTCTAAGCATTCTTTTCCATCCAAGCTTATCGGATCCATCAAAATTCAGAGTTTTATTTTTAATTTTCAAACTAAGTGAGCTTTTTCACTTCTCTCTATATCAACACATGATTTCACACAACTACTTCCCGACAGATACGTAGATTGCATCTGTATTGAAGGAACAGTCTTCTCGAGATTGTGTTGGTTTCCGTACTGGCAATAAATTTTTGAGTGGAAACCAAAATTTCACCATACACCACTGAAATCAAATTAACACCAAATTGGCCTTCATCCGGTACGTAAATCTATCTCCGTCCCAAGGTATCACCCGTTGATCCACAAGAATTGAACATCGACCAAAAGAAAACCCACGGGTCAATGAATTCAATCTAGTTTGAGACAAGAAACCAAGCTGCTCAAAGAAAGAATCTTACAGGCGCTTTGACATGCAGAAAGCATGGGAGACCGATAAGCAAAGAACCATAGCAGTGCCGAGTTCAAGGAAGCAGACAATTCAAGAAGGGTTCAAGAACTAACCATGCACAATTGCTTCTGGGCTCTGACCTTGGCCTCGAATTCATTGAACGGAGCGGCGGTGCAGGCGACGATGATGGGCAACCGGGGCTTCGAGGGTTCAAAGGGGGAACCGGAAGGGGAACGTAAAGACGCTGACGGACGGCAGCAGAGAGACAGCGAAACGGAGGAGGAGGCCGCGGTCACGAAAGGAACGAAGACGGGGGGTAGAAACGCGACGGTCGTCGGCATGTTCTCTGCCGTCCCTCTCGCCCCTCTCTCTCTCTCTCTCTCTCCGGCAGCTCGGTCTTCCCCTTTCTGTTGTCGTGGCGTGCGTTGGCGCTCGTTAGGGAAGTCCAGCCCGCAGGGCTTGTATCTGCCACGTGGTGACGCCACGAGGATACTGTGCCACACCCGTCGTAGGAGCGATGCCACCTGGCATGCCACTGCAACAACCGTCGATGCCTGTGTCTCGGGCGACGGACCAAACACACGAACACGGTTTCTCATTGCCCGGTACATGCGGGACCCGCGTGTCCGGTGCCCTGATGTACATGGCGTGCAACCCCTCGATTAAAAATTACCGCACTATATCTGTATTCGTTCTCTTATTCATTTTTCTGATAATAATAAATAATAAAAATCGATATGTATACGTGTCGGTCGGACATCATGTCAAAACAGATCCGAATGGCGACGCCAATCTGCCCTTATTCTCCGCGTGCGACTCGCTGGTCCGAGTACGAACACCCAACCCCGTACAGTCGCGCATCACCAGGATATCGCTGTCGCTGCAGCACCATCGATCCGATTCGGCCCCTTTTATCACCAAGCCATCAATTCCCTGCCTTCCTTATCTTCCCACCACTTTCTCCGGACAATGAGCGCTCCTCAAAGCAGTCGGATGCCGATGCCCGTCGTCCATTTTAACATCACACTTTGAGGTACGAAGGAAAAATGCTGCAAGAAGGATGAGCGGACCATGTCGTGACAGCTCAAAAGCGTCACGAAATTCGTCGCCGATGACTTCTTCCTCACGCCCCTCACCCATTGTCACCTTCTACAGACTTGTACCCGCACGCAACCGATTTGGTGCGTATCGATTGGATCCCGCGTTGGGCTCCAGCTGCTGGCCCGTTTATAAGGCAGGTGGATAAGTGAGCTTCTTAAGATCGGGCTGCGTCGATACCTCCTACGATTAAGCCCTGCGGTCTTTTAGCCATTTTCCTACCATTGCTTTTGTTAACAGCGACGATTCGTGTGGCTGCGGGTCAGAAGCTTTACATCGTGATTTAGGAGTAACGAAAGGAAAAGCGTTAGACGGAAGGGCGCACAGAGAGAGAGAGAGAGAGAGCGCACATCACCAAACACCTCGCTGAGTGTACCACGTCGCCGATTGCCGATGGCGTCCTCCCTCGACGCCGACGATAAGTCCCGCCCCGTTTCGTTCCCCCTTCGCCTCCTCTCGCCGACTTCCACGTTTCCTCAGAAGCCTCATGAAGAGGAGGCGGAGGAGAAGGAGGCGAAGCCCCTCCTCCCGATCAGATCTGATGGGAAGGAGCTCAAAGGCAGCGGCTGCGACGACGACGACGACGACGAGGCGTCGGAGCGTGCGTATGAGGCCAGCGAGAAGGTTGTCATCGCCGAGGACGACGCCGAGGGTGACGGATCCGCGCCGCCGCCATTCTCGTGGAAGAAGCTGTGGCTATTCACCGGGCCGGGGTTCTTGATGAGCATAGCGTTCCTGGATCCGGGGAACCTGGAGGGGGATCTCCAGGCCGGCGCCATCGCGGGGTACTCGTTGCTGTGGCTGCTGTTGTGGGCGACGGCGATGGGGCTCTTGATCCAGATGCTGTCGGCGAGGCTGGGCGTCGTCACGGGGCGGCACCTCGCGGAGCTGTGCCGGGAGGAGTACCCTAGGTGGGCGCGGCTGGCGCTGTGGTTCATGGCGGAGGTGGCCATGATCGGGGCGGACATCCAGGAGGTGATCGGGAGTGCCATCGCGATCAAGATCCTGAGCCGTGGTGTTCTTCCGCTCTGGGTTGGGGTCATCATCACGGCTATGGATTGGTAGGACCTCAATTAGTTCGTTAGAGTTGCTGTTAATTACTCTATTTCTGACCGGAAAGAAAAAAATCACATCTTTTATTTGCAAGTGAAGATAAGTTTGCGTTGTCCAGGAATATGCTTTATGTCTCTCCTTCGCTATTGGAAATCTAATATCCTTCTGTTGATGCATTATAAGCTGCAAAATCACATTGACTGAACAGTATTCTCTTTCTGTCGATGTCATATAATTGTATAGACTAATAGAAGAAATAAAATAAGATACCATGATCATAAAATAATTTGGTGTTGCAACTTATTTGATTATGTTAAGATACATATTGATATTAGTTTATCAGTTAATTTCCTTTCACAGTTGACTGGGAATTCACTACTTATTTCAATATAATATGGCATGTCATTATTTGTTCTGTTAACACATAGTTATACCTATAACTTCTCTTGCAGCTTTATTTTTCTGTTCCTTGAGAACTATGGTGTGAGGAAGTTAGAAGGCTTTTTTGCAGTTCTCATTACAACAATGGCTTCTTCGTTTGCATGGATGTTCAGAGAAGCCAAGCCTAGTGAAAAGGAGCTTCTGATCGGTACACAACCCATTCCGATGTTATGATATGTGATTGTGATTTGCTCATTCCTTGCTTTAAGCTTGGTTGGCTCTAGACCAAAAGTTTCTCTTGTTTTGTCTTTGCAGGTGTTTTGGTTCCAAAACTAGGCTCGAAAACAATAAGGCAGGCTGTTGGAGTCGTTGGTTGTGTGATAATGCCCCACAATGTCTTCCTGCATTCTGCTCTTGTACAATCAAGAAAGGTTGACCCTGACAAGAAAAGCCACGTTCGAGAGGCACTAAGATATTACTCCATAGAGTCAACAATTGCCCTAATTGTCTCATTCATGATAAATCTATTTGTTACAACAGTTTTTGCAAAGGGATTTTATGGTACTAAAGAAGCAGAAAATATAGGTCTCGAGAATGCTGGGAAATTTCTACAAGAGAAGTATGGGGGAGGTATATTTCCTATTTTATATATCTGGGGAATAGGTTTACTAGCAGCTGGGCAAAGTAGTACGCTTACTGGCACATATGCTGGACAATTTATCATGGGTGGATTTCTAAATCTTCGTTTGAAAAAATGGATCAGGTCATTGATCACCAGAAGCTTTGCGATTGTCCCAACTATAGTCGTTGCTCTATTCTTTGATACATCTGACTCCGCATTAGATGTTTTGAATCAGTGGCTTAATGTACTTCAGTCGGTTCAGATACCATTTGCTCTCATTCCACTCCTAACTTTGGTGTCGAAGGAGCAAGTTATGGGAGACTTTAAGATCAGCCGTGCCATTCAAGTAAGCCATGAGTTCCAAACTCCTATAGAGTACTGTTTTATTATCTTTTTCCACATATATTAAATTAAATTAATCCATATTATGATTTAATTCAACCAGAAACTTATCATATACAATAAAAAATGGGGTAACCCTTTTTCCCTTCCTGGACCATTTAGTAAGGTCATGATTTGACTTATTTTTTTACATATTATACATAATGGATTTACCTGGACCAATACATGATATTCTTGTAGCATTTCTGGGGTCAGTTCTTATATTAGGGGGTCTGGGGGTAGTATTACTTACCAATCCTATTTATTCTGCTTTTTCATTGGGATTGGTTCTTGTTTGTATATCCTTATTCTACATTCCATCGAACTCTTTTTTTGTAGCTGCCGCACAGCTACTTATTTGTGGTAATGTTCATGAATGGTTTAGAATATTCCAATGATTCGTATTTTTGGACCATTGGAGATGGAGTCACTTCACTGGTTTGTACAAGTATTCTTTTTTCACTAATTACTACTATACCAGATACGTCATGGTACGGAATTATTTGGATATTTGGACTACAAGATCAAACCAGATTATAGAACAGGACCTAATAAGTAATGACCAACAAATTGGGATTCATTTATCGACAGATTTTTATCTTCCCTTTGAACTAATTTCTATAATTCTTTTAGTTTCCTTGATAGGTGCAATTACTATGGCTCGCCAATAATAAATACTTAGAATTTTAAAAGAATTAAATTTTTTTTAGAAGTTTCATGCTATTACCCTTATTTGTTAATTTGGGTTCTTAACTGGCAAATATCTTTGTTCTTAATTTTTGAACATGTCACCTTTATCAGATCTAGTGTGAAATATGACTTGGAAAGATTTACAAAAATTTTAGTTCTGAGAGAAGGGATGTCATTTCATGTTGCTATGGTGTGTTACACCAACTCATTGGGAACTATGCTTTGGATATGAAGCTTTTACCCAACTGTGTAGCATGTCAGCATGTTCTAGATTCTTTTCCTGTCTAGTGGAATCTGTAGGGTCTGCTTCATATATCCTTGAATCCCCATAGGGCTGGTCAAGAGAGGTCTACTTTATAGAAAACCTAAAATCCCTTGGGGTTTTTGTGCTTGGGAAATTATGTCTATTGACTACTAAAGCATACCCAGTGCATGAGGCTCCTGCTAATTCATGGTCTTGAGAGGGTCAACATATGGTTGTTTTCGAGATCCGAACCCTGGTCTCCCAGGTTGCAAAGGAGCAAACTCATTGTTGCAATGTCCACCCTCTTGATGGTGACCACTCTTGCACCAAAATTCTTCTTATGTGAACCTGTCAAATGACCAACAAAGCGTGATTTACAAAATCCTTACGCCACTAAGAGAGTTACCATGTAGAGTTTTTTCTTTATTGTATTTTTTGAACATAAGTCCCCTAATCTCTATTCCTTCTCTACCTCAAGAATGATTGGCCTCTTTACTTTAGCTCTTTAAAGGAAACATGGTCTTTCATTTTTTGATAAGAAATTTAAGATAATATACCCCTCCCTGTATGCACCTGGAGAATTTTCTGGCCAATTGTCAGCTGTGATTTTAGTAGCTTTTATTGGTGCTTTCCTACTGTTGGCATACAGATTACAGAATAATACAATAAATAAATGAGATAAATTGTAAAGGAGGTCCTGCTGTTCATGTGTCTTCTCCTAAGCATTTTTCCTTCATAATTGTTCTAAAATCAAATTAAGGGTGTCATGTTCTATCAGGAAATAAGTCCATGCTGTACACCATCATGTAGATTGTTAGGTTGTCTCATTTTTGTCTTCAATATTTGATTCACTCAGACAAAAGCTTGACATTTAGAATAGAATGGGTTGGCTATGTTTGTGTTTATTCTTGTTCGCTGTATATCCTTTGTGCACTTGGTAATTCTATGGATAAAGATGTTGGATATTTTGTTTTAAACATCTGTATTTTATATTTCTTTAACAAAGAACCAAACATATCAAAACATCAGGGGTGAATTGGTGATGTTTGCTTAAGGAAGACTAGACTGACAATGATCATGAACAAGCTTTCTTGTGATGGAATACATGGACTAGTAGAAAATAAGCCACATGCGGATAGATTTTCAACTGAACTGACTGTTGGTTTTTCCCATAGTTGATCTGATAAGCTTGTTGACCACACTTGTGGTTCCAAGAAATTGTTTTTAGTTGTAGCATAGTGAAAATAGGATGAAATATATACAAAGTTCTGGTGAAAACTCATCAGCAGCATTGTCATCCACTTTGTTCTTCTATGTTAAGATTCCAGCAAGTTCACCCTCATCCTTCGGTTAATATATATTCACTACCTTCTACTAGGGTGGTTAGTCATGCTGTGTGTTCTTGCTAACATCATTGACCTCAGTCATTGTTTGTGTTCGCCGCAGATGCTAATGTGGATTGTTGCTGCCCTCCTAATAATAATCAACGGCTATCTTTTGCTGGAATTCTTTTCCACTGAGATACGTGGTCTGCTGCTAGGCTCAATATGCTCTGCTGCCATAGCCGTATACACAATATTTGTTATTTATCTCATTTTGTATGGTGGTGACTTCACCACTCAGCTTGCTTCAGCAATTCACAGGAGATTTCGGCCAGGACAGAATTACTTTTGTAGCATTTTGTGAGATACAGAGAATAGTTTTCTGATCAATACATGTCTATGGGGTCTTCGGATAGTTTCCAAATGCCAGGAGTTCGTGTTATTCAATCGGCCATCCTGATTCGTCAAATCAGGATTTGCTAAACCATGGCATAGCTACGATCAAGGTAGGCTTACCATGCCATCATAGATGAACTCCACCCTGATATTGCCAATGGATATTGCAATCACACAAACTACAATTTCACAATGTATCTTGGCCAAGGTAAGCTTTGCTGATGAGAAGCCTACCGGCAGGACACCTAACTGTTATTCCTAGCACGATTGCTCGTGTTTTGTGTAATATACACCTATCTGAACAAGCCCGTAGAAATAAGCAGAAAAGGTAATGACACGGTTATATTCCAAGCTCGTCATATAGTGTTATCATCCTTTGCAGAATATAGCCTGTGGTTTGCAAGAGTCTGAGTTTAGGAGAAATCTCGGCATGGTGATTGATTTCCCTGTCGCCCTTTTATGATGGTAATATTTGTGGTGTGTTTTAGTATTGCGACAAAATTCAATATTCTTTTTGCTTAGAAACTTCCAACTTGAAGCCCCCCTTCTGTGGTGCCAATTAATAGGTAACCTGTCTTTTTAACCTCCACCCATGTTGGGCAGTAAGAGGACTTGGAACTACAGCAATATATCTGCTTGTAATAGGAGAACCTATGTGAAGTCTGCAGCCTTTTATTTCGTAATACTAGAAGAAGAGTCCTCTTAAGATTTGATGCAAATAGGAAGCCATTAGTTTCTTTACATCTCTGCTGTCACACTAAACCATTAATCAAAAGATGAGTTTGAACAAGAAGATGGTTTGTGGTTCCATCAATTATTGGCTGATTAATTGTTCTTCTTCAGTCTTATGGTGAACAACCATTCCTCAAATTCTGATTCATCAACATCATAATTGTATTATTATTCTGCCACAGTATCTCATCAGTTAAGCTCATGATGCTTGTACTTCTTTTATGCATGTGTGTGAGAGTTGCAAGATGGATAAGAAGTCCTCTCTCTCTCTCTCTCTCTCATCAACAAGGGTCATCCCTTCCAAAGCCAAAAAAATTCAAGAAATTTGCCCTCACCATAAAGATGTGTGCAAACACTAGTTCACTTGGTGAGAGCATTGGGGAGAAGAAGAAGACACCAACATAGGTGAGGGAGATGGGTTGTCACTTTGTCTGGGTAGACAAGTGAGCAACCAATCTCAGATCACATGCCATCACAAACATTAATAAAAATGCCTAAGTTGATTGTTAACCAGAGAGTGCTGATGATTTTGGCAGCTCAATCATTTCCACCCTCCCCAAGTGGAAGATTCCCATGCCAATGCAGCTATTGGTTTGATGGCAAAGGCAGCTCATTATCTTGCTTTTAAGATGCCAGGAAACAATGCTGCTCCCACTGTTGCTGATCTTAATTCTCTCTCCCCAAAACATGAGAGTGGAAAATGCATTGTTTCATTTCCAGTGCTGCCACTTGATCAACAAACATTTCTAAACTGCTGACTGATCTCAACAGTCATTGCAAATGATTAAAGAAACCACAGAGAAAGCAATCAGGACATGTCCTCCTCTGCATTTCGTCAGTTCTGACACCAGAAGATTAGTATAACTGAGAAGAGAAGCTTTCAGCAATGGAAGTGCTCATTGCAGAGAAACAAAAAAAGAAAAACAATTGGAACAAACACATCACAAGTGGTCCTCCAGCTTAACCAGAGTAAAGCAATTCAAGCATGAACAAGTCTTGCAAGAACCACAGCTTACAAGACATAGGCACAGAATTCAAGCATCAACCTACTGAAGCATCTCCAACAGGAGCATTTTACACCCCCTTTACATCCACCTAATTGAATCAAATTGTTCATAAAAACTGTAATATTGGAAAAAGAAAATCCCTGTGATCCCTTTAAAGTAAGAAATCAACATTTTGAGAATGAAAAGAAAGAATCAAACTTGCCTGAAGTGATGTTGAACACCAATCAATCAGTAATTCTACCTAACAACATTGAGGAAGAGCAACTTGGAAATCTCAGAAGCAAGTGAAGCTGTTACCTCATCCACAAATCCAAGAACAAAGAATGCAGCAGCAGCGACTCGTAAACTGTCTGAAGAATCTGTACACACCCCTTCGGCCTCTCTCCTCAGTTGGAAACCACACCGACCAGTGTCTCATGCTTGAGGTTTTCCCCGATCCACCATGACTTCGATTCGGTGCTCCCAGCGTTAGTACTATTAGAATCTCCATCGGCCGCCGTCGCCGGAAGATTCAGATCAAGCAAATCTGACATCTCATGTGGCTGCTGCTGTTGCTGTTGCTGCTGCTGAATCAGTATATGATAAGCAGCATTGCCTGCAGCATCAGAGGTTGCGACGAGGTGACGCCTCTTGTGACCACCCAGAGCCTGGCCGGAGCTGAAGACTTTCCCACATATCAAGCACTCATGCTCCTTGCTCTTCCTCGACCACCCCAAGCTGGATTCGGAGACCTCACCTCGATCCACCAACTCCTCAGTTGCCGTGCTGTTCTTGCTACCGTCGGTCCTGCTCCCGGGACAATTCTTCGTCCTCTTGTAGCTCGCCCGATGACCTCCGAGAGCTTGGTAGGAGCCGAAGGTCTTCTTGCAGGCCGCGCACTCGAACCGACTTCTCTTCTCGGTCGCATGATCCGTCTCCAATTTAGCATCAATGCCGCTTGAAGAACACTTCACGGCCTCAAGATCGTTCTTCGGAGCTATAGACAAAGAATTCGGATCGTTTCTCTCAGGACGGCCCTTCCTGGCTTCGTCGCGGGAGCCGTCGAAGTCATCTGTGTCAGACGAGCAAATCTTGGGCTTCTTGAGCTCATCAAGATCGTCGCCAGCAAAGTGATCATCGGATGCGTCGGACTCCATCTTCTTGAACCCGTTCCTGTTCGCATCGTCCAACTCGGATCCCTTCCTCTCAGTTCCATCGAGGACGAAATCTCCGGTCTCCAACACCACCGAGTTCTTGACGGAGGACTCGCTGCTGCCGCTGCCGCCGCTGCCCCAGCGTCCGACATCTCTCGAGAGCATCATGAGACTGATGGCACCATCCTCGTCCTCGCGGTCACGCTCGGAGCCCGACAAGGAGCAAGATGCCGCCGCAGGCGTCCGTCTCGTCCGCCGCCGCCGCCTCGGCACCGCGATCGGCGTGACCTCGCAATTGGATTGCTTCTCGAGCTCTTCTACCGCCGCCTCGGAAGCGTGGTTAGGCCTCCCGGAGTGGCACTTCATGTGCCCAAACAGAGCTCTCCAAGACAAAAACTCCTTCCCACACTCCCCGCAGCACTTCTCCCCATCTCCGCCACCAGAATCCGACAGCCTCCAAGTCTTCTTGGGGTTCTCTCTCAGGCCATACGAGCTCTGCGGCCGCTCATCGCCGTCCCCGACGATCGCCAGGTTACCGTGGGACCTCATGTGGCCACCCAGAGATCTCCCGCACGGGAAGCTCTTCTTGCAGAACTTGCAGCGGTGCACCGCTGACGGCGGCGGCGGCAGCCGATCTCCTTCCATCTGAAACAGAAACAGGGAGGACAGAACAGGGGCAGGTGACTGACCAAGATCGGGACGAGTCAATGGAGGAGCTCAGAGGGCTTCAAGAACTCGCCCTGGATCTCTGATACCCGCGCCGGTAACTTCATGGAGTGGTTTGTCTGCAGGGGGATGAGATCTGAATCCCGCTCCAACTCATTCAATTCTCTGCTTCCGACTGCGATCTGCTTCTCTTCCTTTCTTGGGGAGTGTGAGCAGATCCAACAGAAGTATGGGACTGCATCAGCCTCTCTTTGAGCTGGTATAGAGAGAGAGAGAGAGAGAGAGAGATGGGTTGGTTCCTTTGAGCTACTCTCTGTGTCTTCCTCTCTGTTGTCTCTGTTTGGTGAATGGATGGGAGGAGAAATCCATGCATGGAAGCAAAGTTAAAACAGGACAGAGAGGTGAGAGAAAGAGAGAGAGAGAGAGAGAGAGAGGCAGAAGAAAGTAGTAGCACGTGTAAACGACCGAGGATCCTACGCCATCGAATCAGACGGCTGCCATCGTGCCACGCGGGGCGGAGTGGGGGTTGGATCTTCCGCCAAAGGCCAACTGCCCTTTAACTATTCCTTGCTTTGTCTCTTATCCTTTGCCCATTGGAACAAAGCAGAGGAAGCCAAGTGTTGCTTCAAGATACGCTAAGGGTGTTCTAAGATTAGTGCATATTATTATTATTATTAAAATTTTATTTTATTTATAAAATTATAACAGAAGATAAAATAAGAAAAAATCATCTGAAGATCAATTATTAAAAGACCGATCAAGTTCTAAAAAATCATAGGAAGGATTATAAATAAAATTTTAAATGATATTTAATTTACAAAACTCGATGATAGAAAAAATATATATATATATTCAATCCTAAAATAGTTACATTTGTTCTTTTTGTGAGTTCAAGCTTCTGATTGATATGGAATTTTAGATGAATTTTAAAGCATGGTTGGAATTGGAAGAGGTCTAATCTGGACTTTAATTGGAGAGAGAGTTCCAGTATAATCAGATTAGATCATACATGGAGAAGCAGGAGACAGATGATGGCAACCTATGACTGGAGGAGGAGGAGGAGGAGGATTGAAGTGGAAGGGGTGGTCCATCAATTTCTGGGTAAGAGAGTTTTTGGTCAAGGGTCATAGCAAGTATTATCTTAGTGCTTTTCGATTGAGTGCCGAGAACAATTTGCAGAGGGTTATTATTCTTCATGTAGTTGGGTTTCAGGAATCTGATAATAAGAAATTATATATCATAAAGTCTGAATACTTGCTTTTTAGACATGGAAAAACAAAAAAAAAGGAGGCTGAGTTGGGGTTTCTATTAAGTAGCTCTCAAAGATCAGCTGAGTGTTCTCTGATAAAAGATTCAGCTGGTGCTTACAATCCTTTCAGATTCAATATAAATGTAGCATAAAAGATAAATAGTGAGGCCATGACAGTGTGATATGTGCAGCCAGCATGGAAACAACAACTCTCTTCTTGGTTGCGGCAACTGTGAGACCTGCAAAATATCTTGAGCTTGTTTGTGGGGTCAACTAAAATGGATCTAATGAAAGGGTTGGGAGCTTTGTCAATGGTCACAGGACCCATTCCAACATAAGCTTGGGGAACTCGCAAACTATTGAAAGAGAAGCTTGGAATAACTTTGTAGGGATGGATGGATGGATGCATTACCACCACACAAAACTCTCATGCATTCCCCCCTCAACCTTGGGGTGCACTCCTCCTTTCTCTGTGCGTCGATTTAGGAGAACAACCAGGGAAAAGCATACATCAGAAATGGAATGTGTCCTGTTCGATCATGGAGCGTAGTCTGCTGCAACACTGAAACATACTGCACCAAGATTGAAGCTTCTTCGTATATACAAGTGTGCATGCAACTGTGAGTATCCTTTGTTTTTACTCTTTATCTGGCTCTAATGATATACCATAATTAGATAATTGATATGATGCTTATTCTTCTCTCTGTTCGGTACTCCACATACAAATCCTGAAATAAAAATAATTAATATCTTTAATATTATGATTAATATATGTTTAATGCTTATTTTTTTTAAAAAAAAATTAGATACTTGTTGAATCAAATCTTTATATTTCATTCATAATAAGTTTAATTAGGTTTTAATTAAGCTTTTCTAATTTTATAATTAATAATTTTAATGATGATTTAATCAAAATTTGATCCATATTAGATTGATTTAATATTTTTAGGTATTTGTCATGTTTATAACGATTAAAAAAAGACTAATTAGGGATTAATTAATTATGTTAATACTATAATTAGTATATTTAATGTTTATTTAATTAAAATTTGATCTATATTGAGTTAATTAAATATTTTTAATTTCTATTAGAGTGTTAGATATCTGGTGAAAGAGGAATAATTAGAAAGTAATTGGCTATATTAATGGTGAAATTAGTATATTTAATAGTAATTTCATCCTAATTTAAGGATCATATTTACATATTAAATATCTTCTAGACTGCTTAATATATTTAGAGTGGTAAAATAGGAATCATCAAAATCTAATTAAGTTTTTAATACTATAATTAGTATATTTGATGATAAATTTATCATTATTTGATCTTTTATTGGATCAATTTTATGTATTTAATAATTATTAAAATGTTTGACATGTTTATTATGGTAAAAGAGAACTGATTAGAAAGTAATTAGTATTTCTAATATTATAATTAGTGCATATAATTTTGAATCCATCTTAATTTGACCTATATTGAGTCAATTTTATGTATTTAATGCTAAATATATTGATTGACATGTTTATAATGAAAAAATGGGGTTCATCAGGCATCTTATTATTTCAAAATAAGATTAATTATAGCTTACTTATTTGATTCAATTTTAATATGCAGAACAAATATATGATATACTTAGTTCGTTGTAACAAAAATTAATCGCATTTATTGTGACAACATCAACAAATTAGGGTTAATTATAGTTTATAGTAAATAATATTACTTAGTATCATTATTTCAAATTAGGCATCTTATTATTTCAAAATAAGATTAATTATAGCTTACTTATTTGATTCAATTTTAATATGCAGAACAAATATATGATATACTTAGTTCGTTGTAACAAAAATTGATCATTAGTAGTGCATTTATTGTGACAACATCAACAAATTAATGTTAAATAATATTACTTATGTATTTAATGCAAAATATATTGATTGACATGTTTATAGTGAAAAAAAATAGGGTTCGCATCTTATTATTTCAAAATAAGACTAATTATAGCTTACTTATTTGATATATTTTTAATATGCATCAAAGGAACAAACAGATGATGTACTTCATATTATTATCATGAAAATCAATATCATTGATAGTGCATTTATTATGACAACATCGATAAAGTAGGGTTAATCGTAGCTTGCTTATTTAATTCAATTTTGATAGACACTAAAGAAATAAACACAAGCTGATACTTGAGTTCATTGTCCAAAAGATAGACAGGAATTGTAATCATTAGCAGTATATTTATTATGACTATATCGATAAGGATAAAAGAATCACTTGATTGAGTATACATTTGGTTAGCAGTTCTCATGATGTTACAAAATACAAGAAGATTCTAACAAAGATCCGTTAATTATTTCATAACAACTTACAATAGATAAGGGAAGATATAATTAAAAAGAATGCAAGAGTTACACATGAATTAATTTATGATGAATATGAGAGTCGATGATATCAATCCAGATCTCAAAGCTAGTATTTGTGCATCATTAGAGTATCAATACATGTACAAACAATGAGGCATCGATAACTAAACTCATAATAGGAATATGACGGTGATGGTGGATCTACATCGTAGGAATTCCAAAGGTTGGCCAGTATGAGTCTGTCAATAGCCCATCCTCCTCAATTGAGTCAGATTGATAATATGAGGTAAGGTAGATACTATGGTTTCATCAGAGTATTTAAAAGGAGGTCAGCAATAGTTTTTATTTACATTGATCCATAAACTTATCATCCATAAATAGTAAAGCATACATAAATTGATGATCCATATACAAATAAAGAGAAGTAGGATATTGAAAAATCAATAGCTAAATTATTCAACTTTCATAATATTCCAACAATATGAAATCCTTTAAGATAGTAGGACGAATATATGATGACATTGATATATGATAATTAGATAAGGTTAATAAAAATGAGTATCATTAATTTTCTTATGTAAAACAAAAAACCAATGATTTTTCAAAAGTCAATTAATTCTCTTGAGAATATTCAAGATATAAACTATATCAAAAACCTAATGAATATCATAGTAAAAGAGATCAAACTATAGTACATTTTCTAGAATATATGATGATATTGATGTATGACAGTTAGATAAAGCCAACAAAAATAAGTATCATCAATTTTCTTATGTAAAATATAAAAAATGAGTGATTTTTCAAAAGTCAATTAATGCTTTTGAGAATATTCAAGATATAAATTATATTGAAATCCTAATGAATATGGTGGTAGAGGAGATCAAATTATAGTATATTTTTTAGATAGTCACAAATGAAACCAATTTTAAGAATGTGGATTTATAATTGATTGAGAAAAAAATTGATGAGCTATCATCAATTACCAAGTATATAGCTTGGGTAGTGTTAATGATAAAGTTTATATATAATCTTAATTGAGTTTACTCTTTAATACAAAAGTATATAAATGATGAGATGCTCCGTTCAGAATCATTCGATTTGCTATAAATTTTATTATCTTAAGGTCAAAACAGCAAAAGAGGTAAAGTCTTAAAACAATGGTCACCTCATATGAATGGTCTGATTCTATGTATTTAAGATCAAGTGATGAAAGAAAAAAGTAAAAAAGACTATTCTTTCTTTTAGATTTTAAGATATTATGAATGAAATTATAATAGAAGTGAAACAACTTTACGTTGTCCTTCGTAAAATCAATATGGATAAGTATCCTCATATGTTTTGTCTTAGATATATACTAATTAAGTAAGAGATGATGTCAAGAAAGCATTTATACATGATTTTAAGACCGAGCAATACTTACATATCATCGATTGTATGACTGAAATTCATATGGACTAAGACATCAATAATGCAAGTAAATTCATATCTTGTGTAATTTAATTCATAATTATTTTATATTTAAAAGTTCTTACTAATGAAATTATTTATCTTGTAATGTAGTATCTATATCTAACCATTCAATTTTGGTATAATATTAGAACATGATCAATATTAAAAATATTATATATTGACTCTTGTCAAACATTGTTGATGTAGCCGATGCTACTATTGAGGGCCAATTATTCGAGTAAATAGTCTATTCATTCTTTGATAGTGTAGCTATATTGTATCATTATAATATGAATCCTCGTAACAGAAAGTTACACACATGTTGATTATAAACTATTTTTTATATTAATTATTTATTATATTAATAAAATTCTATTTATATTTTTTTTAGTCAAATGGTAGTTGTAATTTGTAGGGGATGTACCAAATTTAAGGAAGGTTAATGTCCATATATTTTTATAAATGACGACATCAAAATATTGTGAATGTAACTAATTAACATTCACAGTATTCACATAAAGGTCCATAATAAACTTTCTATCGTAGAAATGATTAGAGAAACTAGGATATATCCACTACAATATATGATTAAGGTTATAATATATCGAGCTATATAAGGAGTAAAAAGAGCTAAAGATTGATCTTATCGACACAAAGATTCATAGTTTATCTTAGAGTGAATCAAAGAAATGAAGGACCAAGAGAATCCTCAACTTGATGAAGTGGGAGATCCTCTACATCTTTATCGTTTTATCACTGAGGCAATAGAAGAAGATAAAGCACATCCCTGGCAAGAGGAAGATCACCCTCGATCAGAATATGCAAAGTTAAAAGTAAAGAAGAAAGTAGTAGCATCAATCGCACTGTTAAAAAGAATCGAGTCGAACGATAAGACAAATTCTCAATCACATTCAATAACCCACTTGGTTTGAAGACATGGTATTGACATGGATAATAGTGCCTCAACTGATGATGGCGATGATACTTGGGAGTTGATAGTTCTATCTATATAATTTGAGAGTGGTGTATGGACCAATGAATAATATTTTATACATACCACCTAAAATTCAGATCATAGAGCTCAATAAAAGCTTAATCAAGTTTATATACAGAAGGAAAAAGTAATGGATAGTTTTGAACAAATACAATAATACCTATATGATGTAAACACAGAGCGAAACTCATCATATTCATAATCATCGTATTATGGAGAATCGTACGGCCAACAACAATATGGTGATAGTTGGTCATTCTTCTCTAAACAATAGTACAATGATCAATCTTATGATATGGAGCAACAAATTAATGGTGAAGTAAAAGTTTTGATATTCTCCAACCTTCGCACCAATAGATATACCATGACGATCAAACTATGATCATCACCACATTGATGCACCAATAGCATATGGTGTATTAGTATATTATATCATATGATCAATTTCAAGATTAAATCAAACAAACATATCAAATTAATATATAGATAAATAAGATCGAGCATCACGACCCATCACCTATGTAGTCTCATATCAAATTAATATACAGATAAACATATCAATTGGTCGATTACTTAATTCATTTAAATCTTAAAGTTTAAATTATTTAATAAATACTTGATTCATTTAAATCTTAAAATTAAATTATTTAATAAATTATTTAATAATTTTATAAATAATTGAATATCAATGAAAAGATATTATGAAACATACAACAAAACTAGTCAAAACTTTGAAAAAAATATATGTTACTATCCTATTATTATCTAAATTATTTTTTGTTAAAACTATACTAAATTTATATTTATTTTTAACTTAAACCTCAATCTATTTTTTTTATTTTTAAGAATTTTAAAGTTATTTTTAATTATTTTTCATATCATCAATACGTCGATACAAAACGATGAATATCATATAAAGACCGATAAGACGAACTTTGCCATAGACGAATTCAAAATTCAAAAGACAGATTACCACAGATGTAGTGACATAAGTAACCAAACTCCATGTACAGTTAATGGGAATCTTCCTTTCATTGTTACAATTATTATTATTCAGCAAGCAAGCAGTTTGGATGCTTGTTTATGTTGCTGCATGAACTTGTCACCTTCTTTATGGGTAGCCAGCACGTCCAAGAACAGGAGGTCATGCAGGCACTATTCTGAGTCCCCCTGTTGCCACAGCCTTACTGTCTCTCAGCCATTTTGTTAAACAAAGCGAAATAACTTTCAAGCTATCTGCAATTATTTATGCATAAATTGGCCGGCAGGATCATATGTGGTGTGTCCATCGACTCCTGAAATGTCTCTGGACCACCAATTAGCCATCACCTCTTCCCAAAGGATAGTAGGTTTAGTGACTCAAACAATACGCATAGATATCCATGGACTCCATACATAGTCCCAGGAGGAGGAGATGCTAAGGTCAGATGTGTTCTTGAAGTAACAGATGTTCTCCTCTGCTTGTGCTGAGTCTGGATCCAGAAGATGTAGTACCTGATACCACTTTCCAAGGTAACCTGATGAAAAGTAAAGTTAAGAGTGTGTGGCTGCTAAAAGGAAAACCAATTTGATGGAATAAATGATGTAGAAATACATGATCTGCAGAAGAATGGACAGGAACACACGAGCTTTCAGTTCAGCTACTTCAAAACTCCAGAACTCATTAGCAAATGCTAAACATCTGCAAAAGAACATATCTTTCAGTAATTTGGAAAAGATAAACTAAAATAGGTACCAATATTAGCCAAATCTCATGACGGTGGATAGCAACCTGTTGTGTTTAACTTTGGTTGTTGATCTGCTAAACAATAACAAATGCCGCATTTTAGCAGCACAAAGATGTGCACCGAAATCAAGGAGCTTTACTTGAGAGCAAAGTCTCACTATGGAAAAAGGAGGTACCCTGTTCCTAGCCAGCAAAAGTTGTCAAAGCTTTTTCTGTTAGAGCATCTTCACATTATTGAGTGGTGATGATATATATAATTTTGTTCGACTGAATGTAACACTCAGTCCAATCCAATCCTTGTCCTTTTCCAAGTAAGCACCACATGAGAGTTTAGGATGCTCAAATTGCCAACCTCGAGCTGACTTGCAAAAAAACACAAGAGATTGTCAGAAACAACAGAGTCCTCTAATGCCCAAGTGATAGTGAGAATTAGTTTGGATAGAACAGTAAACATAAAGTAAATGCAAAAGTAACCATAGTCAGAGACAGATAAAGGAGTTGGTGTGTAAACAGAAGAGTTAATTCACTACCTGAAGACTCCTTTATATACATCCATATATCCATACGAAGGCTAACAGTTCCAATGGGATGTACCATGGTGATGACTTATGAATGTTGTGTGGTCAGTCTAATGATATGACTGGACCAGCATTACAGACTGAAGTAAACAGGAGAGTTGATAACCGATGTTGTCGGTAATGTGAAAATTAAATACTTGTCGCATTCATTCCTGAGATTAACCACTGGAACAAGGCCCCTTTGAGTAGGCCCCATCATGCTTAACCCACGTCCTTCCTAATCTATAAACCATCCAAACAAACCTCTTGCATAGTTCATAAACAACCTAGATCAACTCTGAGACCATGCTTCTAATGCAATTTTTTATCATAAAGGCCTCTTTAACACAATTGCATGAGATGCATGAAGCTTCTGATAATTTCTTTTCTTTCCTTCAGTGATATTGATTTCTACTCTATATATCATCCTAGACATTTCATTCAACCATCGTCTACCTGATCTGATTGAAAAGGCTACAAGTGGGAGCTTACTAGATGACTGGCTGTTGAACTTCTTCCTTTGCTTGAAATGCAAGAAATGCACCACCACCAACTTGCTGGAGAAAAGTAATTGGATATTTGAGTTATAGTTCAAAGTTTTCACTGATCACACCCACCTGCAGAAAAAGAGTGGTCATAAAATTAAGTGATTCAAATAAGCTCTCACTTAAACATTGCTGTGATATAGTCATCCAGAAACGTGACCATGATCCATTATCTAACTTCCATAACAATTTTCTTTGAAAAAAAGAAGCAACCTTTTTTCGAAGTATCTGAACAGAACCTTAACTCTCATCAAACGGGATCGAGGAAGACTTGCAAGTTAGAGTGTCCGCAGATAACACTCATCTGCAGGTTAAGATAAACAGTGGTTAATCTGCAGCTATGACCACTGTATAAAGTACAGAAAGAACAGAAGTTCATTTCAAAATTCTGTATAAATTCCACATGGTTGCATTCGGAATCTAACTTGCAAAATTCACTTTAACAAAATAGGACTTCATGTTCCAGCTTTCAAGATTAGCCTGTTTCTTGGAATGAGCATAACATAAGCATATTCATAGTGGCAGGTGGTTTGATTAGATCATTCAAGATCTTGAAACTGAGATCAGGTTGTACAACCCACCCTCAGCTTAGAAGCTTCTCCCATCTTCCTTCTAGCGTAGGCTGCACAGGATCTATCAAGCGCTTTCCACGTCCTCATCTATGATTAATACCTCATAAATACATGAGAAATGATCGTTTTTTATTGCACACACAAAAGAAAAGTAGCAGTCGTCCTGAAATTAGTATCAACTCACACAAAATATCAAAACTCATGATAGTGTAACTCATTATGCACCATTGCAAGGATTGGTAATGAAGATAGAAACAAATGGACATGGATGCGAAATATAATTAGAGGCAATGATACAGTCCATAAATCCATTATATTGTATACTATATATGGCCCAAATCTGAAGTCCATCAATACGATATTTTGGTAAATCGTACATATGTCACAATCTGAATCAGAAAGGTCGTTGTGTTTCACTTCTACATGATCCAATTATATTTTACAATGGAATGGAAATGGTTTGTGACCGTCGATGGCCTGAATCCCCACTTCAAGCATCGCACAAGCACAGTGCTGCAGAACAAGCGAGTTATGTGTATTTTGTAAAACGAATATCACAGGTATCCTTAAATTTAGTGTCAGCAAAGTTCTACATTTTCGTAATTTAGTCCACGAAAGATATCTTTTTGTCATTATCAACATTTTCGTAAAGTTTCTCTTCTGCATATTAAGGTTTATTTTTCTTCTGATGATAAGAAGAAAAAATCAAACACCATGTAATGCGCGGTCGCGCTTAATGAAGATCAGAAGATTGACCCTAAGGAAATCAGCATTTTGTCAAAAATCTTGAATAGTTTAGAACCAAGTCCCTGACATGATTTACATCCAGAGTCGCTGTATGACAGCATCTACATCCAGCCTTCACAATCACAAAATTACCAATGTTGAAGCACTCCAAACATATAATGACTCTTAAATAAAAAAGAATCAAAAGAAAAAAAGAAAAAGATGGGGTCTTTTAGTTTCCATAGTCTTCCCACTACCATCGAACTTTTTTTTTC